TCCAAGTTTCTGCATACACTTGTTTCCGGGTGTACGGCGATCGTCAAGATACAATACCTGTAATATTAATAATTTTGTAGGTTAAGGATACAGCTATATTCGGACACTTACTGGTTTATCTTGATCGTAGTTTGTCTCGAGAAGGTACCATCCATTAGGATCGCTGGGATTCAATTCAGTGAGAAGATCAGTGGCGTTTAAGCTACGAGTGATAATACAGCCCTGTGATTTGAATTTCATTTATCCGGACAATATAGATGTTAACGCTTTGGAAAGAAGTTCGACCCAGGAAACTTCAGCAGCATAAGTTCGTCAATGCTTAATCTCTTAACTAGGCCTCCTTTTTTTACAAGTTCAGACTTTCCAGAGACTTTTTACTTATCTTCAATGTAAAATATGCGGGGACCAATTTTCGCCGTTAGAGCTTGAAGCTTGCTACTTAAAAGTAGTTTAAAAATCGTCATAGTAAGTTTTATCACGCATTTGCGGGAATACTAATGTACTGCGAGAACTGGGCCCTAGGCCTAAGTTAGTCAAGGTACCTATAATGTCCATTTAGAAATATTGCTATATCGAAGTGGGGTAACAAAAGCTTCTTGCAAGTATACAACCTCAAGAGGACCAGTTCTCGTCCACTACAACATCAGTACGTCTAAGTAGCACCGCCATATTGTACTTAGTACAGTATGGCGGTGCTACTTAGAAACTATGTATCCCGTGATAAAAAACAAATTTGAAAAAAAATGAGTATTACTACCGAAATCTAACATTTTTCTTATAAAATTGTCTTTTTCTCTGGTTAGAAATTTATATTTCTGCTCATTCTTTGAGAAGTTACATTTTCAAAAGTTTTACTAAAAACCAGTAAAGACGTTTCCAAGCACTTTTCACGCGCCTGTTTGTTAGTAAGGAGCGACTGATAGTAGGGTGGTAGTGTCAACGTGCTGACACGCGCTCCATCGCTAACAAACGCTTTCAGAAAAGTTTCCTAGGACATTTCTTTGCTAAACCATACCTCCCATGGTTTATAGCCTCCAAGAATGTAGTAGACAGGTGAAAGCATTGGCGTTGTCATTAAATGAGCTTTAGCATCAGCATAAGCTAAAATTTATTCAAGGGTCATTACAT